AAAAAAAAAAATTTATTTTACCATAACTTTTAGCTCAATTGGTAAGTTTGACATTGACATAATTAAATAGAAAATTTTATGACAATTAAAAAAATTGTATCGTTAAGATCAATATGCAGTCAGAAAGTTTTATAATTACTATTTATTGTAAATTTATCAGAAAAGCTCAATATTTTTTTGCATTTTTATGGTAATAGATAACTTAAATAGAAGATAATAATTTCCTAATTTCCTAGTAACTTTGATTGTTTGATAAGATTCTACAATTGAAATATTGAGAACTTAATTAATTTTAATGATTTATTTTAACTAAATGAACCAATCAAAACAAAGTTGTTAAAAAGATTTACTCAATTGAGTGTATTATAAAATNTAAATAAAATTGTTAAAAAGATTTACTCAATTGAGCGTATTATAAAATTTGATTATATTTGTAAAAATCAATTGTTAATTCAGGAGAAAAAACAATCATTTTTTTTAGAAATGATTTATATAGCAACACGTTAGAAAAAAATTTGAATATTATAGTCTAATAGTAGCACACACAAACAGAGTAATAAAATTATTAAATTACAAAGTAAAATGATTTAATTTTGTAGTTGAAACCTATCATATCAAACTTCATTCGTTAATAAATATTTTGAAAACATTAGAAATTAATGATTTTAATTGTCTTTATCGAGACGATGTAATAACTAACTATTTAATTGATAAATTAGAATTTTTTTTTCAATTTTTGAGGGTAATATCTTCAACTAGATACGAATTGTAGTCATTTGACGTATCGTTGAAAAAAGTAGGTCAAGTTAGAGCAGAGAAAATAAATGATAGTCACAAATAAATATCTTCTCGGCTTTGCATCGAAGATAAAACTTAAAATATAGTAAAACAATTTTAACACGAATAAGAAATTTCTTCTTGTAAGGGGCGACTAAAGTGATGGGATAAAAATGGGCTATTTATGCAAGTTTAAATTTCAAAGTTAAAAATTAAAAGAAGCAAACAAATTTAAATAAGTTTAACTTTCTATGCTCTATTAATTTTTTATTTATATAATATTTATGAAAATCTGTACTCCCCAGAGTCAGGTATTTTAAAATAAAATAAAATACAAAACCCAGAATTTTAACACAAAAATAGCAAATTTTTGAATACGGTAGTCATTTTTACCGTGAAGACAAATCCAGAGGTCAAATTTTTTTTTTTAAATTAAAGTATATTATATAAGCTTTAATTTAAGATATATATAAAAGTGTCAGTATTTCCGGAATACTTTCAAAAATTAAATTGAAAATATCATAGTAACAATACGCATGATTAAAGTTTTGACCCCCCTTGTTAAAGGGGTATGATCCGATTTACAAAAAAAGCGTGCCAGATGAAAGGGGTATATAAATATTTATTATAAAAAAATAATAATATTGATCCATACATTTTTCCAAAAGTTATATAAAATATAAATTAAATAATATAACATATAAAATCGAGAATTTTTTCACGGAAATTGTACGTTTTTCTTTAACTTTGATGTCCGTTTTCACCACGAAGACAAGTCCAGAGGTCAAATTTTTTTTTTCAAATTAAAGTATATTACATAATATTTAATTTAAGGTATATATAAAAGTGTCAGTCTTTCCGGAACATTTTCAAAAGTTAATTTTTTGTGAAAAAGTTGTCATTTTAAATCCCCTTCTGTGGGCATGTAAAGGGATAAATTTATAAAAAAAAGTATATCAAATGATAGATAAAGACATCATGCATCTATAAAAAAAAAATTATATCGATTTTGTCATTTTTAAAAAAGTTATAGCAGTTTTAAGTAAAAAAATTGAAAAAAATTCGAAAACTAGAGATTTTTAAATTTGTAATTTTTTTGGAGGATTCTCCCATTTACGGAGAACGAGGGAAATGTTTTCAATTTTTGAGGGCAATGTCTTCGATTAGATACGATTTGTGATCTTTTGACATATTGTTCATCAAAATCGGTCCAGCGAGAGCTGAGATTGAGCGTTCACAGACACAAAAAAAAAAATAAAAAAATACATCATAGTAAAATTAATACCTTCTCAGCTTCGCATCGAAGCTAAAANACATCATAGTAAAATTAATACCTTCTCAGCTTCGCATTGAAGCTAAAAAATATTAAAGCCAACATTCACTAAAAATGTTTTTATTATATTCCCAGAATATTATTTAAAGTAGCAAAGAAAACTAATGAAAAATATATATATATATATATGTGTAATTCATAGATATATTAAATCTAACATTTTCAAAAATTAAAAATCTTCTACTTTGAAATTTCTAAAAATATCGACTTAAATAGTCGCGAAAATAAATCCTCTCATATTACTTTTAGTCTCCTTCCTAATAAAACTCCCAAAGTTTTTTTTATAACAGTCCTATTCCTTATTCAAATGAAGCTAAATAGCTTGGTCTTCTCCTGACCGTAAACTTAACTGGTCGTCTTACATTCATGGCAAAATAATAAGTGTAAACCAATGGCTTAGAACACTCCAGCCACTACAAATTAATAAAACTTCCAAAACTAAATTGCACACTAAACTCATAATATTTAAAAGCTTTATCAAATCAATGTAGTCGTACGGTATTGAGATATGGGGAGCAGTAAAAAAATAAAATACTAGCCATGTTCAAGTTTTACAATCCAAGTGCCTTCGCCGAATTCTTAACGCCCCATCTTATATATCAGACGAAAC